TCCCCCCCCCCCCCAGATCTTCAGGTATTTCCCAACTCAGAGCGGGCAAACCTACACCCACCCCAGGTTCCAGAAAAATAGAAACACAGGGCTGGAAGGGATCCCAAGGGCCATCTAGCCCAACCCCCTGCACAGTGCAGGAGGAACTTCACAAGTCTCTCCCCTCCCCTAGTGACCCCTGTACTATGCCCAGAGGAAGGCAACCCCTCCCCCCCAAAAAAAAACCCCTCCAGAATCCCTGGACCCATCTGGCCTGGAGGAAAATTCTGTCCTGACCCCAAAGTGGCAGTTGGCAGGGTTATTTTTGGGCAGGAACGCACAGGAGCGGAGTTCTGGCTGGCTCCCAAGTTGGCCACGCCCAGCAGGAACTCATTAGCATAATAGGCCACACCCAACAGCAGAAACTCATTAGGATTGGCTACATTAGGGGTGTGTGGCCTAACGTGCAAAGGAGTTCCTGCTACAAAAAAGCCCTGGGCTTGGACAACAAAGAAGGTAAACAGAATAAGAAGCAAAAGGTGGGTGTGGCTGGATGAGCACACTTCTGGTAATATGGGGGTGTGGCCTAATATGCCAATGAGCTGTGCTGTCATGGGTGTGGCCTAATGTGCTAATGTGTTTTGGCGGTTGGGTGTGGCCTATTATGCTAATGAGTTCCTGCTGGGCTTTTTCTACAAAAAGAGCCCTGGTTGGCATTACCCTGTGCATGTGAGAAAGGGCCAGGAGAGCTGACTACTGGCTACTCCCTTCCTGCCCTCCCTCTCATGATCTGCCTAAATTCACAGTCAGTCATAGAATCAGCATGGCTGTCAGATGGCCATCCAGCCTCTGCTTAAAAACCTCCAAAGGAGAGCCCACCACCTCCCGAGGAAGCCTGTTCCACTGAGGAACCACTCTAACTGTCAGGAAGTTCTTCCTAACGTTTAGCCGAAAACTCTTTTAATTTCAACCCGTTGGTTCTGGTCCAGCCTTCTGGGGCAACAGAAAACTCCGCCCCATCCTCTCTATGAGCAAGGCCATTGCCCAAGTAGTGCTCACAGTTGGCTCCCACCTTGAAACAGCTGACCGTAGAGGGGCTGCAGAACAGGTAAGCTATTGAGCTTCAAGCCAGGGGTGGAAGAGACGATCCTCTCCAGCACCCCCAACCCTTCCCTGCAGCCTTTGTGCTTTCAGCCCAGCACCCAGGCAGCTCCCAAGAGGACCGCAAGCTGGCTGCAGAGAAAAGAGAGTTTTAAAAAAAATCCCTCCATCACCATGAAAGCTTCCCTCCCCTGCCAGGAAAAGAGCAAGCTAGCAGCATTGGGGCTGAGGTTGTTTTACTCTCTGCAACCAGGTAGACAGCCGGAGCCCCTTTTACCCTCGGTCTTCTTCTTCCCTGTGTAAGAACACTTGAGCTGCAGTGGCTCAAGTAGTTAAGACGCTGAAATGCAGGCTGTGAAAGGCCAGTAGTTCAGCAGTTTGAGACCCGAGTGTGCCGCATGACGGAGTGAGCTCCCGTCTCTAGTTCCAGCTCCTGCCAACCTAGCAGTTCGAAAGCAAGACATTGCAAGTAAATAGGTACCACTTCGGTGGGAAGGTAACAGCGTTCCGTGCGCCTCGGTGTTTAGTCATGCCGGCCACATGACCATGGAAACATCTTCGGACAGCGCTGGCTCTTCGGCTTTGAAACGGAGATGAGCACCGCAACCCTAGAGTTGGATTCGACTGGCTTTCGAGCAAGGGAACCTTTACCTTTACCTTCTTCTTCCCTCCCGAGCATGGGGCAGAGCAAGCAGCTGTAGCTGCTGGACAGATTCAAGCAAGTGGGCTGGGGCAGAGAACAGAGGGGCGCTTCATCCATCCTTCCACTAGGGAGCTGGTATCACAGGAGCTGTGTGGCTCTTTTGGTGTAGTGGTTATGGAGATGCAGAGTTTAGATCTGCCATAAAGTCACATTGAGGACATTTCATGGGACCAGAGGAGAATATGCCCTGTACTGGATGGCCCAGGCTAGCTAAGATCTCAGAAGCTAAGCAGAGTCGGCCCTGATTAGTACTTGGATAGGAAACCACCTGTTTTGCTACACGGTTGCTACACAGAATGGTAAACCACCTGTTTTGTTTCTTGCCTTGAGAACCCCCTATGGGGTTGTCGTAAGTCGGTTGGGACTTGACGTCACTTTCCACCACCGGAGAAGAGTATATGCTAAGGGATCATCAGCCAATACACAAATACCAGGAACAGACCTACCAGACATACTGTATTTCTCAAGAAAAATGTACTAGTGGGGAAGTGTCAGGCAAGAAACTTGATGCCCCTTTAACCAAGGCGCGACACAATGCAACAGCTCCCCCTGCTGGCAATTAAAAACATTCTTGCAAACGGCTGGATTGATCCAAGTGTTTCTAAATAATGAACTCAAAGGCCTGCGTGGGCTTTGTTCAAGGTGTGTCTCTTTCGGCATCCTCCCATCTAAGATGCCAGAGGGGTAAGGAACACCTAGAGAGTAAGGAGAACCAAATTTCTTCTTAGTCTCTTCTCCCGTCACCATTTTAAAAGGAAGGCCTATGAAATGAAAGATTGTGGGTGCGTTTTGAAGAAAGCCAATAGATATGTTAGTTCAGTGGGGAGGTAATCTCTCCAGTTTCCCAGTGGCCATAGAAGAGGACACAGGGCGTGTTCAGGTAGTCTTCTGCAATGCTCCAAATCCGGCTCTGCTGAGAACCTCCCCCCTAAGGAACACTTTGCAACTGATTTTAACTAGCATTTTTGATTCCCGTGAGCCATCACAGAAGCAAGTTTCCCTTGGATCAGTCCCATGAGTGTTTCCTGCTTTACACGGGCTTTGAGTTACCTCATGTATTCAGACCAGCAAGGTTGAATTCTGGGTATAAGCTTTCGTGGGTATCTGAAGAAGTGTGCATGCACACAAAAGCTTATACCTTGAATAAAACCTTGTCGGTCTTAAAGATGCCACTGGACTCAAACCTTCATTCTGCTGCTTCAGACCAACATGCCTGCCCGCCTGAATCTCTCCTCGCGTATTCAGATTCTCCTTTAGAATTTCATCGTCAGTGTTCCCCATCTGTAAAATGGTTAGATATTTTTCTAGAATGTATTCTAAAGGATTAATTCCAGAAGAGGAGGAGATGGGATTCATACCCCGCCCTTCGCTACCCGAAGGAGTCTCATAAGAACATAAGAGACGCCAATGTTGGATCAGGCCAAAGGCCCATCCAGTCCAACACTCTGTGTCACACAGTGGCCAGAAATACCAGTGCCATCAGGAGGTCCACCAGTGGGGCCAGGACATTAGAAGCCCTCCCACTGTTGACCCCCCCAAGCACCAAGAAGACAGAGCATCACTTGCCCCAGAGCCCCTAGCTATACCTTGTGGCTAATAGCCACTGATGGACCTCTGCTCCATATGCTTCTCTAATTCCCTTTTGAAGCCGCCACCACCTCCTGTGGCAGTGAATTCCATGTGTTAATCACTCTTTGGGTGAAGAAGTACTTCCTTTTATCCGTTCTAACCCGACCGCTCAGCAGTTTCAAGGAGTGCCCACGAGTTCTTGTATTGTGAGAAAGGGAGAAAAGTACCTCTTTCTTTACCTGCTCTTTCCCATGCATAATCTTATAAACCTCAATCATGTCACCCCTCAGTCGTCGTTTCTCCAAGCTAAAGAGCCCTAAGCGCTTTAACCTTTCCTCATAGGGAAAGTGTTCCAACCCTTTTATCATTCGAGTTGCCCTTTTCTGCACTTTTTCCAAAGCTATAATATCCTTTTTAAGGTGTGGTGACCAGAACTGCACACAGTATTCCAAATGAGGTCGCACCATTGATTTATATAGCGGCATTATGATATTGGCTGATCTGTTTACAATACCCTTCCTAATAATCCCCAGCATAGCATTGGCCTTCTTTATTGCAGTCACACACTGTCTCGACATTTTCAGTGAGTTATCCACTACAACTCCAAGATCTCTCTCTTGCTCAGTCTCGAGAGAGCTCTGACAGAACTATGGCTTACCCAAGGTCATCCAGCGGCTGCAAGTGGAGGAGTGGGGAATCAAACCCAGTTCTCCCAGATTAGAGTCCACGCACTTAACCACTACACCAAACTGGCCCTCTGGGGAAGACATGATGGGTGAATATGCTGTGTTCCCACAGCTAGGCTCACCCTGGCTGTACTTCTTGTGACTCACCCGGCGACTGGAGAACATTTGATTGTTGCATGTGGGCTTCACAGCACAGCTTTAAACCAGGGGTTCGGCAACCTTTTTGGGCCACGAGTGCCCAAAAATGCAATGTCTACAAGGGCTCAGCCAGGTATGCTCGGAGCTAGCCAACCTCCAGTGGTACTGCCAGCATCTCAGAGATTTGCACTGGACTCAGCTGGCAGGACTGTGCTGGTGTGGGAGGCAATGAGGGGCAGGAAGCACACCCACTGCCTTCTCCCTGAGCAGAGAGCTGGCCCAGGGCACCAAGAAAAATGGCCTGGTGCGCTGCTCTCAACACAAGTGCCAGGAGAGGGGCTGGGGCTCAGTGGTACATCAGCTGCTTTGCGGGCAGACGGTCCCAGGTTCAATCCCCGGCATCTCCAGCTAAAAGGACCAGGCAGCAGGCGGTGGGGAAAACCTCTCTCTGCCCTGGGACCCTGCAGAGCAGCTGCCAGTCTGAGTAGACAATACTGACTTTGATGGACTCAGGGTCTGATTCAGTATAGGAACTCAGCTTCATGTGTGTTTTAGGGGCTGTACGAGTGACAGATCATCTGCTTTGCATTAAGAAGGTCCCAGGTTCAATCCCCAGCATTTCGTTAAAAAAGCTCAGATATTATGTGAGGAGAAAAGACCTCTATGCCTGAGACCCTGGAGACCCGCGGCTGGTCTGAGCACACAATCCTGCCCTTGATGGATCAAATGTATACAGGTAGTTTCCTCCGTGTGTTACCCCTGATTTAATCATTCCCGTTTGCTAAGAAGTGAACGAAAGACAGAGAAAGCCACAGGCACACAGGTCAGTAAGAGGATTTATTGTTAACAGACATTAAGTCTCCCAAGAGCAGCCATCTTGAGCTCCATCCTCTGTGGTCCGGGAAGCTGCGCAGAATGTATTTCAGGACACGGGTCCTCGTGGAGGAAGGGCACGAGAGATGCCAGTCCCTGGAATGGAGGAGATCCTGTCGCAGAGGGCTTGCACCCATGCATCAGGACAGGAGCTTGGTTTTTTCCTTCTCATTCTCTCTTCTTGTAGCTTTCCAAATTTACCAAGATATAGCCGGCCGGTCCCATGCATGCCGTGAACATAACAGTCAGGGCAATGATACTCTCCTGCACAGGGCAAAACAGAGCAGGGACACTCAGTTTTGATTTGATTTAATGTAATTTGTATCCCGCCCTCCCGGCCAAGGCCGGCTCACAGAACAGGATAAAAATTCCAACAATACATATAAAACACAGCGACGATTGATATAAATACAATGTTAAAACCAAAGTATAATAAAGTGCTAGCATAGTTCATCATCTTTAGCATTCTGAGACCAGAAGGCAGCAGTTAGCGACCGAAGGCCCCTGGGCCTAATCTCTCCACCCTCCAAGTGCTGAAGGGGAAAGGAGTCAACCCGGAATGAAGTGGCCAGAGCGTGCACACGAGCTCAGCCCAAACCATCACTGAAACTATGATACTTTTTATATGCTCCCCCCCCCCCATTCCGTTGTGGATCACCACCAAGAGTTAGTGTACAGTAGTGGCTGACAGTGAAGAGCTAGTGGGGTTGGAGTGTCAGGCTAGGATCACAGAGACCTGGGTTCGAATCCACACTCTGCCCCAAGAACTTGCCGGGCCAATCAGAGACTCAGCCTGAACTACCACACAGTATGGTTGTGAGGATACAACGGGGAAGAAAGTACAATGCGACCAGCTGTGAGCTCCCTGGAGGAAGGACTAAATTTTTTAAAATGCATGACGTGGGGAATATTATAGCTACCATGCACTGAACCTGATGATTACTGAAACGTACAGGGGGGAACAAGAGACATTTTGTGGCTTAAAAACTGCTTTATACAAACACCAATTCTCACAAACGTCTTATGGATGAGCCTTCCACTATTTCCAAACCACTCAGGTAACACACAAAGACCTTGGCCCCCAGATCTCCTGAACACCCTCCCTCTACCACAGCCTCCCCCCCCCCCCCCCTTAATTGCTACCACCTAATATTTTCTGGACCTGATCCATTAACCCTGCCGCACACCATAGGATTCTCACTCCCTGATCAACCAACCCTCAGCCTACACCGACCCACTTCAGTGACACTTTTAGAATCATGGTTGCCTTCCAGACGGCGCTCAATTGGGTTTCAGAGCAGTCCTGTACGACACTATAGAACTACTCTGAAGCCACTCGCTTACTTCAGGTTTCTGAACACAGTCTTAAGCACGACCTGGACTAAACTGCACCCCAGATTTTCTAGGCCCTTCTCCTCTTCCATGCAGTCTTATAGCATTGTTTATTAGGCATCTTAACACTGCCTGATTGAACTATTTCCTATATTCTTTACTCCACCACAAGAAAAGCAAGTTATCAATGAAATAGAATAAATACTGGCCCCAGCTTCTCTTTTACATCCATGGGTCTCCTACTCCCTTAATACTTTATTTCCACCCCTTAACCCAGGGGTCCCCAACATGGTGCCCACCAAAACCTTTTCTGGTACCCACCAATTGTTCTTAGAGAGTGGATGGGGATATTAGCCAGCAAGGCTTCTGACTGGCAGTGCACATTTTTTTAAAACGTTGCTTTGGCGGCAGCTGCCCCCACAGCACAAAAATCTTCCCTGTGCGACTGAAGGTAAGGTGGGGGCAGTCATTTTGTAGCTGGCTTCATCTCCTGCAGCAGTTATTTTGTGGCTGTGCCCACCACGTTGTATCGGAATCCCAAAGGTACCTGCAGCCTCCAAAAGGCCAGGGACCAGTGTTCCCTCTGAGCTGACTTAGTGTGAGCCAGCTCACAGTTCTTTAGCCTCCGGCTCACACATTTTTGTCTTCGCTCAGGAAGGTATGGCTCCAGAGCAAACTAATTTCTGCAGGAGCCAGATCGCTCGCTCACAACTTTAATGCCCGGAGCTCACAAAGTAAAATTTTTGCTCACAAGACTCCATGGCTTAGAGGGAACATTGCCAGGGACCCCTGCCTCAGCCTTCATAGCCACTGGGTCATATTCTGCCACAGCCCCCCCCCCAAATGCCAGCAGCATCTTGAAGCTTAACACATGTTAATGTTTTTAAGAATGTACTACTTATTGTTATCTCATTGTGAGCCCCTCTGAGCCTGCTTGTGGGATAGGGCAGGATATAATCTGAATAAAACAAACACATGAATTTCTTGAAGTGTGATGCTACAATTCATCAGTTTGTCCTTAAAAGTTTGCAGAAGTAGAGAGGCCCACAGGAGCCTCCCACCCCTTTCAGCAGACTGTACCCCAAATACCCTGTACTCCCCCCTCCTTTTGGAGACAGATCCAGATGGGCCCCAGTGTTAGTCTGTCTGGAGGAGCAGAAAAGGGCAAGAGTCCAGTACCACACTAAGGACTCAGAAACATTTGTGGCAGGGTAGGAGTTTTCCTGAGTCCCTTCGTGAGCTCCTCCCCGCCACACATTCTGTTAGTCTTTAAGGTCCTGCTGGAGTCTTGCTCTTTTC